CGGCTCCAGGAGGCGTGAAGGGCACTGGCAAGGGGCTGAAGGCCCTTCTTTGGTGTTACTATCCATCCCCCCATGAGACCATGAGAGTGGATTTGCTTTTCTGCTTCAATAACAGAGAGACTTGGGCACTAAGAGACTAGGTCACCTCCTTAACATATGCCACATGTAACAATCAGGCATTCCATTGGTCTTCGGATAACACTTATTTTCTAGGACCTTTTATTTTTGTAACAAAATTAAATACGGATGGCTACAGAACTACCACTATGTTGCAAACTGGCCCTCCGGCCAGAGCCAGGAGTCTTCTCCTCTCTTGAGGGCCAAGTTGGTTGTCGTCAACCACGAGAGCATCACGTTTTCCTCCCAGGGCCGGGTTCTGTCTTTCCTCCCTCCATCTCTCTCTCTCTCTCAAACACAGGTCTCTTCCCACATGCTCCTGGACATGGATGGTCCTTTGAAAATACTAACCAACGCCACCATCTCGCCCACGGGCCTGCAGCCCGACTCAGGCCTCTTTATCTGACATACCATCTTCTCTGGGCCGGTCCCACCAGAGTTTCCGTTTCTTTCCACGGCTGGGAGGCTTCCCTATCTACACCTGACTGCAGGATCCTCTTTCCCTAAATCCTTCTTCCTCTTAGAACCCGGAGCCAACTGGGCATGCGGGGCTGCAGGCACTGCCGTGTGCTCAGGCTGTATCTCCTGCTTCAACTGGGGCAGGAGGCAAGACCACGTCTTTACAGCCGCTCAGCCCACAATAGCCCTGGCATGGAGAGGCTCAGAGAAGGCTCTGTAGATACTACAGACCTGTGTGATGTGCGTGGAGGCTGTGCCACCAATTTGTCACCCATCAAAATAAAGGTGACGTGTTTCTGAAATAATGGAAGTTGCTGGGAACATACGGTCTCTGCCCAGCTTTTCAGACGTTTATGGATTGAGGAGACTCAGACCTGCCTGCAGCCTGACTTTCTGCCCCACAGGCTGCTGGACTGAGCTCCAGGGACGCTGACCCTCCCTGGCCCTCCACGCCCCCGCGTGGTCCTGGGACGCTGGCCGGGCTGTTACCTTTATCTGTTTGATCTCATACTGAATCCTCTTGATGGGGTTGCCATAGATGTCGTTCCCAGAGTCCACCTCCTTCTCGCTGACTGCTTTGGCCCTAATCACTGCAAAACACAAAGACATAGAGGTGAGAAGTCCAGCGTCCAGGCTCTGACCAGGGGCCAGGTGTCCAGGCCTGGGAGGTGCTGAGGCAGGTGAGCCATCCCTGGCCCTGGCTGTAAAACAAGGGACAGAGGACCCCAGACCCTGCCCAGTGCTGGCTCCCTCCTGTCCTGCGGTCTTTCAGCAAGACCCTCCTCTGTTGATGGGCCAGAGGCTCAGTGTCCCTCGTGCCCAGGTGGTCTCTTCAACAGCAGGGTGCAACCACCCATCCTGCCAAAGCTCCCGTCGGTGTCACCTGAGTGCTTGGGGCTTCCTCGAATTCTTTCTGATGCCTATTTCCTGATGGCTGGGAGCAGGTGCACAAAGGACTGGCTGCAGCCCCTGTCATTCAGGTGGGCTCAGGCGTTCCCACCACCCTCTCTCCATGCACTATTGGCAAACAGCTTGGGGAGCTGAGGCAGAGGAGTAGTCTTCTACCTTAAAGGGGCCCCTCCTCGACGTTTCCCCAGAGGGCCGGTGGTTCAGTGCTTACCCACTATGTGCAAGGCTCTGGTTCTGCCCCTAGTGCAAACACACTCACACACACCCAAAACAGAAAAACAAGTTTCCCTGGAAATGTCTCTTAGAGGATGCTTGAGAGTGACATGTGTTCTCTGCGGGGGCGTGACAGAGAAGGGGTCGCAGTGCTGCAACTCACAGGGCACGGACTGTGTTAGGAAACGTCTGCAGGCGGGGCTGGCAAACCTAAGGGACAGATGCCCAGGAAGGAGGCCAGACAGAAAGAGCAGCCCGGATGCAACAAGGACCAGGCTGGGAAGGTTCCAGAATGTTCTGGAGCTTGAGGCTACCGAGGGCCATCCCCTCGGGGCTTTCTACCAGCAATTGAGCCAGAACTGGGGTCCCTCCTGGAGGGCCAGAGCTCTGGGCCAGCAGTGCATGTCGCTCGGGCAGGCCCTCCTATTTTCATTTCAAGTTATCCGTGGGTGGCATGGTCTGTTTTAATGACTTTAAGGGCTTTGTCTTCCAAAGTGCAGTGGACAGGTCACTCTGGGCCAGTGTTTGGTATTTTACATGTCAGAAAAACAGAGATAAGGAAGAGGTTCGTCCACCCTCCAGTGGTCGGCTTAAGTGTCTTGGGAATTCCTGGCCAGGGCTGTCATTTCCCATAGAGGCAGGGAGGTCCAGGCACATGGGAGCCCCATCTGTGTCCGTCCCTCAGACCCAGAGGTATGCTCCAGATCCCAGTCTCACCCCAGAGCCCCGCACCACACCCGTGACCTCGGCCTTGGGATCGGGCCCCACTCTCCTCTTCTGCCGAAGCTGAGTCACGGCTGGCCCAGGCCACAGGTTCCTGTTTCCCAGGCCAAGCCAGGCCTCGCCCTGAAAAGCCACATCTGGGAGAAGCCACCCGACAGGCCACCCCGGCACAGGGCGACCTGCCCTTGATCCTGTGCCTCCCAGGCTTCCTCATTCACTGCAGCCGGACGACTAGAAGTGTGTGTCCCTTCCAGCTCAAACCTCTTCCTTGACTCCCCACTGCCCTCGCCTAAAATATGAGACCTTTGCAACCTGGTGCCAACAAGTTTCCTGGGCTGCCGCCACCCATAATCCTTGTGCTAGCCCGTGCTATGTCCCCAACCCATATTACTTCCCTGCCCAATCCCAGGTGTGCTCCCACCTCTAAACAGGCAAGTTTCTCTGCCCCAATTGCCATCTCCCCTCCCGGCCGGAGAACACCCAACCATCCCTGAAGACCCAGCTACAACAGCCCTTTCCTGTCTTGCTCTGGGAAGGCCTGTGCCCTGCAGCACTTGGGGGACTCCGCATTGCTCATCCATTCTGCTGTAAACACAAGTCCGCCTGTCTGCTTGGGGCCCTGGGAGGGCCTAGCAAGTAGAGGCTGGGTTCTAGACGTGGGACAGCCAGTACTCAGTACACACCCTTCAGCTGGAACTGGGCTGAACCTAACCACCTCTGGCCAGCAGCCCACGTAAGGCTGCCTTTGGTCCCTGTGGCCACCTGCCTAATCCATATATCTTATTGCAATGCTGCACAAAAAATGCTTACATGAACCAGTAAGCACGCCAGGTCAACTCTGTCCCAGGGTGCCCTGTGTGTAGCACAGTCAGCTCAGGAACAGACCAGCAGAGTCCGCAGGGAGCACAGCACCCAACTCTGCCTGCTTTAGGTGCTTTTGAGAGCTTCGGTGGTCCGCTACACTGTCCAATGCTTAACACCCAAAGGTGCTCCATACATGCACCACAGGCAGTCAGAAACAAGCCAAAGGCTGCGCAAACCGCCAACAGGCCACATTCTCTCCCTCGTAGGAAGGTTCAAGCATTGGCCTCTTACAAAAGCCACTGGGGTTTTTGAAAGAGGCTGTTTCAGGGGTGGATCCCGAGTCAGGACTTTTAGCTGTGTGACCTCAGAGAGTTTCTTTGACTTCCTCTAAAAGGGAGCTAACAACCATCCCTGCAGCTCATAAGGCTGTGATGAGGGTTGGAGGCCGGGAGACTACATGAAAGTGGCCCTCCTGCTGCACAGGCACTGAGGGCCTGGGCCGTGGGGTGCCAAATGCACTCCCAGGGTCTGGATGGGATGCAGCCCCCCCCACCCGCCGAGTGCTTGCTCCACTTGGGGCTGCAGATTACAACTTTTTAAATTGTCAGAATTGATTGAGGTTCCCAGGTAAGACTAGAAGGCTAACCAAAGCCACCAGGTGCTTGCAGGGAAGTGGAGCAGATTGCAAGAATCTCCACTCCCAGCTGGGCTGCTTCTGCTCGTCCACGGAGACCCCGAATTCAGGTGCTTCAGGGTCTCTCTGAATTCTTGGTGGAAAACCATCCCCCCCCCACTTTGCAAAACGAGAGACCATGAGAAGGAAAGCATGAGGAACAAGCCAGGCCAAGACAAAGCAGTTCTGTGGAAACCTTCCCCAGGCACTGGCCCCCAGAAATGGGCTAGGCTGATGGCTTTGGTCAGTGAGCACCTGTCACTTGTCACACAGAGGAATCTCAATGGTGACCTGTGAGGGCAGCAGGCACCTATCTGGGAACGACAGGTAGAGAAGGGGCTTGGTGAGGGTCTTGCCTGTGAAAAGCATCAGCAGCAGACCTGGCCCCAGACAAGCCGTCAGTCCAGAAAGGAGACAGGGAGGAAAACAGGGTGCTGAGAGCCACAGCCGAGTCGAGCCACAGCGAAGCAGAGTTTCACTGCAGTGGCAGAAAGGGAAGGAGACAGAGAGCTCTCCAAAAGCGTCTGTCCACGTGCATGCAGCGGTCATCACTTTGGGCTCCAGGACGGACCACCAAGCCAGCAGAGGAAAGCAGCGCACTCCAAAAGAGGGAGGTGCTCCCTGAGCCCGGGCCATTGACAGGATAGGTCTGGGGAAGGAACTGCAGAGAGACCCCAACCTGGGCAGAATTAAACCCAAGGCAGGGACATGCTGTGTGCTGGGGTCAGCCCATGTCCTGCCCCTGCAAAAGCCTCCTACTGGGGGACAGGAGGCAGCAGGAGGAGCAAGAGCCTTTGTTGAGATTCTTGTTCTGCTTTGTGCCCCCAAATCATGCCTCCTCCCCACCCCACAAGAGGCTCAGATCTTGCTTTTTCTTCTTTCTCTTCTGCCGTCAACACAACATCTGGGTTTCAGATCAAGGGTGAAACACTGGCTGACGAGTTCGCTGCCAGATGCTGGCTACTGGAACATACAGCCATCGACTTAATTCAAAGCACACGCAACCGCAGGGCCCCTGCCCCCATCCCTTGGGCTAAGGACACCACATGATGTCACTTCCCCTCTCGAGGAGCCTGCAAAAACAATCCCCAGGGCGCCCAGCCAGACCGGGTGGAGAAGAACGGGTGATGGAAAGTCAAGTTTGCGAAAGAGTACGAAGAGGGCGGGCTGTAGGGCGAGCTGTATCCAGCCTCTGAGAATCACCACCTCCAGACAGACTAGCCAACGCAGGCCTGTCCGAGATGCCGAGCGAAGGTGAGGGGCTGGCTGGAAACCCGGGGTGTCCCCAGCACATGCCATGTCCAAGGGCCACCAGGGTGCAGGACACTCAACAGATTCCAGTCATGACGAGGCCCGGCTGGGCGCCCAGGGCTCTGGGGCGGCTGTTCTCCCTCCTGCACATTCTCCTTCCTGTCTGTCCCCCAGGCTCCCACCATCACAGGGCCCACCGTGCCCACCAGTCACTCACATACCACCAACATCTTTTGAATCCCACTGTGTTCACAGAAGCAGTATGGATGTTCCTGGGGAAATAAAAACCAGCCGTGCCCATCATCCACCTGGAGTCAGACCCGAAGGAGAACTGCTTATTTCTTACTTGCTATTTGTATCTCTCTGGAGAATCTCATACCTTATAGGGGTAGGTACACCCTATGGGGCAGTTCCTGCCAGGGCGTGGGCTCCCCACCCTGGGCACAGGGGAAGCTGTGGGTGTGAGACCTGACTGCTCCAGACACCGATTGTGCAGCCCACGGCCTGGCTGAGGCTGAGCCTCTGGGGAAAAGAAGGGACAGTGGCCCACAGTCCCTCCAAGCCACCTGTCTACCCCGTAAGTGCAGGGATTCCAGGACTCAGAGAAACACTTGTGCAAATGAAAGTCAAAGCAGGGCCCTGATCACCTGTCCACCTGCAGGTGCTGCCTGAGGCTGGATTTGCTGAGTGTCAGCAGAGGGCACTGTCCCCCCAGCCTGCCCACCCTCTACTTAATCTCCTGCTGCTCCCTGGGAGGGGTGCCCATGGGGACCCCTGGGAAAATACCCCCTCCCGCTCATGGCCCACTTGGAGGTGAGATGAGGAGCCCAATGTGTCTTAGCACATTTGCCAAAGAACCTGCTGGCCCAAATCACCAACCGGTAGTGTCGCTCTGATGCTGGGCTGGGTGCGAGTCAGCCAGAGACCCACGACACACCAACAGGGGGCAGCAGCGAGCCGCCAGGGGCCAGCCCTGCAGAGAACTCCCCACTCCTAATGCAAATGCAATAACCATGGGCCCAGCTGCAGACGTTCACCCCGGGCAGCTGGTCCATTTCCTTGCCCATGGGTAGAATTACTTGCCAACCACTTCAGAGAAAGTTTAAAAAAAAAGTCTTTTCCAGATGAAACCTAACCTCCACTCACTCCAGGTGAGGATTCGGTGGTTCTTGCAGTGTGGGGGTGCTGCTAGTTTACTGGGGGACTGCAAGTTTACATACCCTTTGTCTCAACTCTCCAGAGAGGAGAGGTGCCACATGCCCTGCTTCAAACACACAGAGCTAGCAAAATCCTGACACTTGGGATCAGTCTCTTGTCCCTTTAGGGTGGACATCCACACCACTCAATGGCTGCCCAGACTGGCCAAAGCTGATTGATCTCTGAACTTGAACTCCTTTGTCCAAAGATCCAGTTCTTTTTTTGGGGGGGGGTGGGGCGTCTCAGATGCCTCTGCCCCAGCCACCTACAAACCCTCCAGGTCAGGGTCTGAGAGGGAAATGGTGCCCCACTTGATCACTCCTAGGTCCACCCCTCAGCTCGGGACAGAAGTCCAGTCGCACAGCTTCTGACTTCGCAGTAAAATGGCTGCATTGTTCAGGGTGCTGCTCTCCGTGGCTGTGGAATCTGAGGGGCGTGTGACCAAGTCATCTCACTGGGCTGTGGAGGCACCATAAGGAGCACTGGGCCCTCTCTGCGGGAGGGTGTCCACCTCTGTGAGCAGGACAGGCTGACCTTGTCAGCCTGGAGGGACAGAGATGGCCACAGCACTGCCAGGAATGGGCAGCTGGTGATCAGGACAGGGGCCTGTGTGGTAAGGACCAACCTGCTCTGGCTCACAGGTCTCAAGGCCACACCCCTCTCGGCAGATCCATACCTGGACACAGGTGCGGCTGAGCGGCTCGGAGGTGTCATAAGGAACACACCAGTGCAGGCGTGGTGCCCATAGTTCACAGGCGTGTCCAGTTTCACCTGCCACCTCCGGTGTCACCACCCCCAGGTGTCCTCAGTACACAGTTGGGGACTACCCCTGAGCTCTGAGCTCTGCGTGCCCCGGCTCCTCACAGCTCAGCCCTTTTGGGTCAATGATGGAACAGATCTCCTGCAAGTCCATTCCTTTTAGGGAAATGAGGGGAAAGGGGCTGTCACTTAGTAATTAAAAACAGCCCCACAGTGATGGGTGGGACCCAGGGCTTCTTCCCTCCCTGCAGCTCTGAGACCAGACTCTCCTGCCGATACCGCCAGACCTGCTCCATCCCCAGGACCCAGCAACTGGGCTTTCTGGGGAGTGGGGAACGGAGCAGACAGCCCCCACCCCCCGCAGGAGGCTCTAAACAGCACCCCAGCTCTGGGGCAGGGCTGTGCCTGTCCAGGGTGAGGACACGACCTGGCCACTGTGACTCAGGCCAGGGTGACAGAAGCCTAGGTTGGGAATTGCTCCCAGCAGATGGATTTGGGGAATGGGTTGAGGGTAGGCAGGGAGGGAGGTGCGGGTGCGAGGTGCAGAACAGGGGCAGATCTGCACAAGGCCCTGGGCCATTTTGCCACCCACAGGCTGGCCCTTGGGGACCTGCCAGGCCTGCCCGCTGCCGGATTCTAGTGTGCACGTGAGCAGCTGTCCGCTGGACGCCCGTCTCCATGGAGACCAGTTCTCGGGCTCCGTTTCCTGCCCATTTGCTTTGGCTCCCTGTGGGGAGCAAGGGAGCGTCTGTTAAGATTCAGCTGCACAGAGAAGAGATGCGGCGACTCCGCCCAGCCTCCAGCCACCCGCCTCCCGCAGCCCTGGCAGGACCCCAGCCCACGCCCTGCCACCCTTCCTCCCTCTCCCTGCAGGCCAGCGAGACCTCGTGCCAGAGCCTGGGCTCCAGCCCTCCCGTTCACGTGCTGCTGAATCATTTGAAAAAAATGCAGCGCTCCTGGGAGAGAACAGTGGGGCTTTGTGGAGGAGCTGAGGCTCTGCAGCCCTCCGCCAGGACCCTGAGCACCAGCCAAGCCCAGCCGTGCGAACCCCACGCCCCGAGCCCAAGCGGGCAGAGGAGAGAGAGCTTGGAGAGGCGCCCAGGGAAGCCCCCGCCCCCCGCAGTCCCTCCCTGACGGCAGGCAGGCGAGGAAGGGACGGGCAGCAGCTCAGCAGACCAGGGTCCTCTCCTCACGCTGCTGCTGGTGCCCAGTGTGGCCCTGGGCGGTCACCATTCCTCATCGGCTGACTCCTTTCAGGAGCAAACCCACGAGGGCTGGACCCTTGGACTCTTTTTCAGGCCTGGTCTACACTGACCGTGCCTGGGGCCCTGAGGCATGTGGCCCGTGGGCAGGGCCCACACCCCCAGGCGGCCGTGAGGGAGGGTGGACTCTGTCCCAGCTCCCTGACCACTCCTTTTCAGCGCAGCCCTCCCTGAGCAGGTGGAGAAAGGGGGTACAGTACGCACAGCCCTGTCTCCTTCCTGGGAAGGCGCTGGGCTGTTCCAGGAGCCGTTCATCCACCCCCACCACCCCCCCCCGTGTTCTTCAGGGGACCAGCTGGAGGCCCCTCAACACCTGCGTCTTTTTAGAGGTCTTGACCTGATCTCTGTTGCCATTTTCCGCTCATTAGAGGAACTACTGCAGGTCCGAGAGGCCCCTGCCCCACCTCCAACGTTAAAAACCCAACTTTCCCATCTTCTTACACGTGTCAGGTCCTGGGTGCCAGCGTAGGCTCACTGGCTGCAGGCGGCTGGTGGGGAAGGAGAGGTGAGGAGGGAGGACCTACCCTGACCCTCAGGGCAGCCCACATGGGGTGGGGCCATGTTCAAAGCCAGGGGGCCCCAGATCTCTCTCCTGGCTTCTGTCCCTGCGTCCAACCTGCCCTCAACCCGCGGACGGATAACTCGGCGGGCACACAGCTATGCTGCTGCTCCTCCGCAAACCTCTTGGGCAGGCAGGGAGCCCCGTCCACCACCAGGTCAGCTGTGAAGGCCTTTCTGAGTCACTGTGGTCTGGGGAGAAGGACCCACAGGGTGGGATGCAAGGAAGTGAGCAGAGAGCTGTCCGGGTAATGCAGAGCGTCGAGGAGGCGGGGACAGGGACGCCGTCCCCAGGGGTGGGCATGTGAGCACCACCCAGCAGAGAACTCTGGAACACGGAGAGGCCCAGGGGTGCTTCAGGAGCAGCAGAGCTCATGTCTGGGTCTCCCCGCCACCCAGCTGCACTCTGTGGACACCTTCTGGGGGCCCGGCCTTCCAGAGCACTGCCCCATGTCACAGCCAAACAGAAGCTAGGGAGGCCAGGCAAGTGGCAGGGGCCACGTGAACCCAGTCTGGATCCCCAGCTCCAGGCTGCCATGAGGCCGTCAGCGGGGACCATCACTTTGGGGAAGACTTGGAGGCACCAGAGAGGCACGAGCAAGAGTCAGGAAGTGTCCTGCAGCTATGTCAGAAGGAGCGAGGGGAGAGGGGTGGCGAGAGCCTGGGCCCAGGGGTGCCGTCAAGGCTTGGGAGGAAGCAGAGACACCCACACCCTGCAGAGTCACCAAGCAATTGTCGGGCGGCAGGGCCACGTGCTCGCCAGGACGTGTGCTCCTGGTGGAGACAGGTGCACGCAGTGGGGACCCGGGGGGCCTGAGGCTGCCCCGTGGCCCTTCACACCACCATCAGCCACCCAAGGTGACCAAGGGACAGAGCCCCCTGGGCTCCTGCAGATGGGGTGGGAAGGCCCCCGTGACCCCTTCCCAGAGAATCACAGGACGGCCATCCGTTTGGGGGAGGAAAAGTCCCAAGAGGTTGATTTATCACCCACACCACTGGCCCAGGCAAGGGCAGCCCTTTCCCCTTGGCCTTCTTCGAGACAGGTGGGAAAGAACGGGATGTCTTGTCCCACTGCCAGGGGACAGTGTAGGTGTGACAGTCCTGGCAAAGATGAGTCACCTAGTTTAGCTCCAGTGTGGCCAGGAAGGGGCGACCCCTCCCTTGCGACACCCGGGCCACAAATATTGCCTTTGCAAATGGAAACAAAAACAACCCAGCTAAGGAAGTCTCGTCCACCCTCAGCCTGTGGCTTCCAGGCCAAGCCAGGCGGACCTCGGCCTCACAACGCCCGGGGCCATCCCAGCCATGCATGAAGCCCAGGACCCCACAGCTCCCTCTCTGCCTCAGACGGAGGACACTATGTGGCCAACAGGTCATCCCATGCAGGGCCAGCCTGGGCATCAGGTAAAGCCAAAGCTCCAGTAGGCGCAGGGGACACGATGACCAAGATACAAACAGCCAAACCCCCAAATCTGTGGGTTGCCACCGCGGCCGTCCCTGTGAGCACAGCAGTGCTCTGTGTGTTGGATGCTCTCCGAGAACCTGGCTCTGGCTTCTCAGAGCCACGCACACCTGGAGGGCATCCGGCACCCCATGGGGTTTTCTGGTCCCTGTCAGCTGTGGTGACACACTTCACTACCCACTCCGTGAATCCTGCACTGACCCTGAGGCCCATGGCTCTCCAAGATTCATCACTGGGAACATTAGAGGAAGCCCCTTCTAGGGAGCAATGGAGAGAGTGGGATCTCACCACGCCCACCCTACTGACGTGTTCTAAATTCCCAAAAGCACTTAAAAAACTTGGTGCCCAAACCTGGGATTAACCCACAAAAGCATCTACTTAGCACCCAACTTTTTGATCCAAAGGCACCGCGGATCCAGCTGTCTTTTCAGAAACAGGCACAAAAGAAGCTCTGATCCTGGGAAGGAGGCCCGGGGGGCCTCGGGACGATACCGCCCTGCAGAGAAAATGAGCCACACCTTTGTGTGGCACCGATGAATGCCAGTCCCTGTGCCCAGACTCAAAGAGGAGCTCCCAGAGACCACGTGGGACAGACACCCAACCCCGGGTAGACAGTCCAGAAGCAAGTCAAACCACCCGCTGCAATGTCAATCATACGCGGACGTGCTGAGAGCCAGGCTGACCCCGAGCCCTGTGGGGACCTCCCTAGGGAGGAGGCAGGGGTGAAGAAAAGGACAGCAGCACACAGGCACAATATGTGGCTTCTCAGCAAGTACTCCAGAGCTTGGGTCTGGGTGACAGGCTCACAGGTGTTTGTTCATTACTTTGACTGAAAAATACACATGAGGTCAATAAGGCTGGTGGTGGACCAATGAGACCAAGGTGCCGAGGTATCCAAGGGCACTTGGAAGAGAAGGGGAGGTTCAAGCACTGTCCTAGCCCCAGGATCACCAAACTCTGGCCCCAGAGCCACCTCCAGCCAACAACTCTCTGCAAATCAAGCCACTCTTTCTGTGCCCTCCACGGCTGCTCATGAGAGTCCAGCAGTGGCAGAAGCTGCTGGCCAATCCAGAACATTGACTCTCTGGCTCTTGGCCTAAAAAGTTTGCCAACCCCTGTCCCTGTCCCTAAGTCTGCAATTGGCAGGGAAAAAAAAAAAAAAAACAAGCCCGCTCCCCATTGTGGGGGTCTCCCTGGCTGGGTCAAAGGTAAAACCAACAAGCAGGGGACTGACCAAATACCCAGATGCCCCCCCCCCCCCCCCTGCCCAGCCAGCCTGCAGGGCGCACTCAGCAGGGCCGGGCTGCCTTCCTTCTCTTTCTTAGTCTCTCTCTCCTGCTCCTGCCGTCCTCCCCCAGCCACTAAGGTCACAGGAATGAAGCGTGTGGTGGACTCTAAGCGAAGTTGGCTCTGTCGTTTGAAAGGCTGAGAGGTCTTAGTGTCAGCTCTGTTAACGTCTTGGCCAGGGGCTAAGCACCAAATGATGTATCTCTTGAAACTGGGCCCCCCTGACCTGGGATGCCCCTCAAATCCCAGCATTTACTCGGCTAAAACATCCAAAGGGCAGAATCTCCCTGGAGTTTCCACGTGTGCCCAGGGCCCGTGGACACAGCCTTCCCTCTGTCTGCCCCAGACAGGCTGGACTCACTTCCCGGACCCCACAGCTTCCTACGTTTGTGCAAAGGATGGTGTGAGGACACCACTGACCTCTACAGAGGCCACCTCGACGTAAGACCCTATGGACTCAGGGACAGGCAGGCGGAACCGTGATCAGTGCTGTATTTTGCAGGGTGGACCATCGCCTTTTAACATATTCTCTGAAACTCCAGCAAGCGCTTCCTGGCCTTTTCCAGAAACTGCTCGTGCAACTTGTTCTGCTCTGAAATCTGCAGCTGAATGTCGCGGATCATCTGGTTCTGCTTGTCCTCGTCTTCGATGATGCTGCTGTTCGAGGAGGAGGTGAGCTTAACCTGGGACGGGGACACTCGGCCCTGTATCTGGTAACTGCTGGGGTAGGACTTCAGGAGGGCCAGGCGCAACCTCCTCCGCTCCTTCCGCTCTTCCTCCAGCTCGGCCGAGTAGTGGATCTCCAAGCTCATGTCTGGGAGCTCCGCGGACTCAAACGAGGGCTTCTGCCTCCTCCACTCCAGCTCCAGCCTCGGCGGCTTCTGTGCGAAGGCCATCCAGTCTGCTCCGCGCGCCTGCTCCTGCAGGTGAGGCTGGGGGCAGCTGTCCATCAGTGTGGCCAGCTCGGAGGCCTCCTGCTCACACTCGGTGCTTTTAAAGAGCAAGTCCTCTTCGTCGACAGCCGTGTCCGCCTCGGCCAACGATGTCTGACTTCCGTCCTTCACTGCAGGCTGGGCCATCGGATGGCATCTGGGGAGTTCGACCGTGCTTCGTGATTGTTTCAAATCGGTCTTGGATGACTTCTGGGAGACCTCGGCCTCTGCAGGATCCCCGGACTCACCAGCAGGCAGCGACTCCACCTCGGCCGCCCCCTCTTGTGGGGTGTCACTATCGCACCCCTGCATGACTGAAAAGACCTGCTCCTGGGGGTCAGGGTCCGTCCTGGACCTTGAGTCGAGGTGCTGATTCAAGTGCCTCTTGAGCTTCCTGTTTGAATTAAACAGCTGCTCGAAGGCCGACTCCAGCTCTCTCTGCCACCTGTTCTTGGTGATGCACTTGTCTGGAGTCGTGGGGGCCACGGCTTCCCTCTTGTGGGTGGAGCTCGCTGGCCACAGCTGCTGGAACTCCTCCAGTCTGTCCCTGGGACCCTGGTTCTCGGAGATGTTCCTCAGGCCTCTGGCAAAGTGAACGGTGGTGCCCTTTCCCGCCTTCCTCCTCCCCTCCCGGGCTCTCTGCTTCTCCTGCAGGCCCCTGAGTTCTTCCCCCGTGGCCAGGTGTGGCTTCACACTTCTGCCCACCCGAGGGGTCACGGGCTGGCGGCCGCTGCTGGTCTTGCTTGAAGGCACCCGTTTCCGTTTACTCTTCTCGGTGGGACCCAGACCCCGGGGTTTGGCGTCCCCCTGCCTCTCGGAGCCCACTGCTTTCCTCTGGGTCTTGGGGCGTCGGGCTTGCTGCCTGGGCGGCTCTTCCTGGTGACTCTTGGGTTCTCGAAGGGCCACTTTGTGCTTTTCCTTCACCTTCGGGGACCTTTCTGCTCCTCGCGGGGCAGGCTTCTCCAGGTCGGCCTCGGCCTGGGCCTGGGCTTCGTTCTCCACCGCCCACCCTGCTGTGGCCCCCCCCAGCACGTGGGTGGAGCACAGCTGCTCCGGGTCCTCGAGGAACTGGGCCTCCTGCCACTCCGCCTGCAGCTCCTGGGCCAGGTGCAGCAGCTGCTGGGCTCTCCACTGCAGGTTGGGCCTCCTGGGCAGAGGGCTATCGTCTTCGCGTTCTCCGACTTTCAGCATCGTGTGCTTCTGCCTCAGCAGCGTGACTGGGTTGTGGGGCGAGGAGCCAGGCAGCAGGGCTCTCTCTGAGGTTCTCTGCCTTCCCGTGAGCTCTTCTTCCAAGGGCAAGCGGCTGCAGCCAGAGTGAGGCTTCTATTGACCGGGGACCATAGAGGCCACTGCTGTTCACGGGGAACCTACGAGGGCAGGAGGACACACGCAGCTTCCCGAGCGCTCTCAGGAGAGTGGGCAAGACCCTGGAGACAAGGGCACACGGGAGTCTTAGTCGGGGATACACTGAAGCATGCGCTCCAGGTCTCTCCCCGACCTCTGCCCACCAAGGCCCACTCTGTCCCCAGTCACCGAAAAGTCAGAGCCTTTAGGACAGTGGTTTTCTATGGGGTGTGGTTTGGCATCCAGAGGACATTTGGCAACATCTGAGGATGTTTTTGGAGGTCACACCTGGAGAGGAGGTGCTCTAGGCTGGGCAGAGGCCAGGGAGGCACAGAAGGGGCCCCGTGCCAAAGGGGGAGCTGGCCAAAATGTCAATAGTGCCAAGACGGAGGCCGAGGCACATGTTAGGGTCCAGGTGGGGGGGGGAGGGTGCAATCGGAAGCACTCACCTGGGGAGGGCAGGGACGAAGCATGGCCTTGAGGGGAGGGACCTTGTGAATCAAAGAGGAGGCGGCGGGGGAGGGAGGAGCTCGCCAGGCAGCGCCTGTGTGCGTCTGTGCAGGTTTGGTGTGTGCAGACAGATGTGTGCACCCGCCTGCGTGTCTGTGCGTGTGGGTGCGGGTGTGCTTGATTGGTACTTGAATCCAATACAAACCCAACGGAGAGAGGAGCAGGGTTCCAAGTCTTTTCAAGGTCCCCGGCTCTCTCTCTCTCCGTGTGACTATCAGAGGACTCCCATAGGTCTCCCTGGCACCAGGAAGGGCCTGTGCTTGCTAGGCCTACCTGGGGGAGGACGTGCATGTCCCCAGGTCTGTGGCCACTTGGCGTTGATGCCAGAAGCAGCCGGATTTGTGAGCTGCAGCGGCTGCTTCCCGGATACTGCAGGCCAACCCTCTCGTTTTGAGCTTGTGGAACCAGGCTCAACAATTTGAGCCCAAAGAGGTGGCGGCACACAGGAAGTAGCAGCTCACCCATGTTCCAGCCAATGTTCACCGCCCGGGCTCCCCGGGGGCACCTGGTACCCCAACGGTTCATTTATTTTGTATTGTAAACCTGGGAGGGAAGGAGCTGTTATCATCCCTGGTTCACTGATGGGGAAACTGAGGCAGGGAGGGAGGAGGACACTTGAGCAGGTCACACAGCTGGGCCAACTGCTGTCCGGGTAGACCACGGCACCACAGTTGGTCACACTGACGCTGGCTTTGACTGAACATTCGGGGGGCGGGGGGGTGTCCTTGCACCTCTTGGTAAATCGGGCCACTGACTGCAATCATACGCAAGAGCAGTGGCTGATGTCAGGTTCCACAGGGCCAGGACAGCAGGAGGGAAAGCTGGGTCTCCACAAAGGTGACACGTGGCTCAATGGGGAAAAGAACAGTCTGTGTGTGTGTGGGGGGGGGGGGGGGGGACAAGCCCTCTACCAACTGAGCTGTGTCCCCAGCCCTTTGTGGTTTTTTTCTTTTTTTCCCCAACAAATCACACTGTAACTATGCACACGCAAAACGAGGACTCTCAATCCTTCATCACACCATACACAACAAGTCGAACTCACAAGGGGTCACAGACCTTCACGCAGGGCTTAAGTGCTCAGAAGGAAACACAGGTGGCTCCTTCCAGGCCTTGACTTAGTCAAAGAACATTCAGATACAATCCCAGAAGCCCAAGCAGCAGAGGAGGAAATGGACACACAGGAAAGTTAACACCGCTGGGCTCCGAAAGGCACTCCTGGCCCAGTGAGGATCCCGCATGGACGAACAGACACCTGCAGATCATGCACCCAAGAGCCGACTCCAGCCCAGAACACTGAACCTCGCTTACAACCTAATACGAAGATGAATAACCCAATTCACAAATGGGCGACAGATCCAAGTGGACGTTCACCAAAGGAGACAGATGTACGCTGATGCCGTCTGTAGGCTTCCCACAGCAGCAGTCCTCAGGCCAACGCCAATGAAGCCGCAGCGGAAGGCCACTTCACATGCTGGGTGACTACAGTTCCAGGGACAGTCAACGACGACGGCAAGTGTTGGCGAAGAGCTGGGGAAACTGGGACCCTTCCAGGGGTTGGTGGAATGCAGACGGCAGCCACTTTGGAAAACAGCTGGCGCTGTCTTTAAAAGGTCAGCACAGACTCACCCCGTGACCCGGCAAGCCCATCCCTGGCCACACCCAGGAGAAACGGAAGCGCTTCCAACCAAGAAGTCATCGAGGCTCCGTGGGGTGGGAGACTTTTCCCGCTCACGAAGGAGCTGGGTTTGAATCTGGGTCTCATGGGTCCTTCCTCTGCGACTGGCCACAGGGGTGTCCAAAGAGGCGAGGAGGGAGCTGGGCTGCTGGGAACGTCCCTTTGTCTGTCTCAGGAGACCCCTGAGAGAGTGGGGCTCATTGCACCCCAAGGAGCCAAGTCTATTTCTGAGCCTGGAGCCACCGACTCCCGACCTTTATCAGCAGGTGACAACCATTAAGACGCGGCCTCAGTGACTTCTACAGGAGTGTCCCCGCCCCAAGCTCAGTTCATGACCTACATTTAGGGAGCTTTGAGGTGAAGTCGGGAAATCAGTCAGTTCCACAGCTCAGAAATTGGGGACCCAGGACACCCTAAGGTGTACCCTTACTGCCATGTTCTCAGAGCCTCCTGTGGCCCCTGCTGTCCCCCCGTGCCCTCCACCATGTACCACCGTGGGACCAGGACAGGGTCCACTTGGGTCTGGCCAGGAAGATCACTAAGCCTTCCTGAGCCTGAGGTGGCCAGGGGTAGGAGCCCCTGGACACCCCCTCCTGGAGTGTCTACCCTCCAGTCTCCTAGGGGCTCCCCAGCCCTGCAGGACAGGCTGCCAGTGCCCTAGGAAGGACACTCACCAGGCGGGAGGTCATGCTTCTGGCTGAGGCCCACTGCACAGAACACCTGTGCTCTGCTGGCTGACCGTCCTGCACAGGGCAGTCCCCTGGCCACACTCCCGCCCCCTCCCCCATCCCTGTGGAATATTCTGAGCATCCCCACTTGGCCCCTGCCAAGGAGCAGACGGGCTGCCGGTCACTGCTGCCTTCAACCTGTCTGGGAAACCGCAGCCCTTTCCCCACAGGCACTGCCCTCGGGGCGCCAGGAAGGCAGGGTGGACACCTGTCTGGCCTTCCTGGGGCACCAGAGCCTCCGGGACCCTGGGCCCATTCTCTCTCCTGCTCTCTGCAGCCCTGTGACCCCAGCAGGTGGAGCTGGCCCCAGCAGCCACACCCAGCCGCAGCCTGGACAGTTTTTCAGCAGGTGCAGAACCTAACCCTGCCTTGAGGACGCCCCCTGCACAGGTAGCAGGGAGCACAGGCCCCCTCCCAGAGGAGACCCCAGGGCCTCTGAGCCGCCCGGGCAGCGGGCGTCTGCAGCAGGCCCCAGTGGAGTCCAGGAAAGCATCATGATCAGAGCCTGCGGAAGGCGCCAGGAACAGGCGCGTGCTCAGAGAGGCCCGGGGCTGGCTGCAGGACGCAGGCTCCTGTGGGCACCCTGAGCAGGCCCGGCCCCCGCTTCTACAGGAGAGGCACCTGCTGCCCACACAGGGGCAGCAAGGCGGGCATGGTGCAGACCACGCCCAAGTGGTGGCCATCATGACCAAGACTCAGGCCCTGCAATTATGACAATGCTGCCAGGTCCCCCAAGTGTGACAGCCACGGGGCTAAATCTGCCCTTGACCCTCGGAGACACTGACCCTGGCAGCCATGCCATGTCCTACCCGAATGCGAGCTGACAGCAGGGAGGGGGGCCATCGTGGGGACAGCAGCAGGACTCGGCTGCCTCTCTCCATCCTCGGGTGGCCCTCGTCCCTGTCCTCCCCACTCTGGCTTCCAGGGGCCTCACGCACACCATCTTCTTGGCTGGAACCCATGCCAACGTTGCCCCCGGGTGATCCCCTGAGGCCGTGTGCCATTTTGTAGATATTTAACTAAACCAGTTAACACACAGGGAGAGACAGGGCCACATGTAGCTGGCCAGGAGGACGCGGCCTCAGTGACCACACGACTCTGGCCAATGACAGACCTGTGTGTGTTCAGGTCCACAAGCTTCACACACACACCCTTCCACACCAACTCGC